AGCATGAGGCAGATGAACAGGTGTCCCCTCGGTCCTTTCTCTGTGGGGTGCCACAGGTCTTGCCTATTTTCCCCATATTATTTAATATCCGTATGAAACACTATTAGAACTGCTTAACACTCATTCACCCAATGTCAGTGTGTATATATCACATAACTGTCAGCAGTCTAATAAGCCTACTATCGATGGAGCCCTGAAATTACTTAAGCCACTATTAATGGGCTTAAAACTATTGTAGTGCTTTTAAGAATTGAGATAAAAAAATTAAATTCACTGGAGAAGCACCCATGCTCCCCATGTACCTATCCAGGAAGAAAATATGAACCCTACTTATTTTTAAAATACACATATATGATTGTTTCTTTTACAGTGTTGAATCTGCTCTTGTCAATTTGAGTGTCCTGCAAGTGCTCAAAACTGTCTTTGCTTTCCTTATCTGGACAAAGAGAAACAAAAAGGCTGAAAATTCCTGTAATTTGGGTAGAAATCCATCATTTTGCTTCTATCTTGGCTTGGAAGTTGAGTTTGCAAATGAAAAAGGAAGAGCCACTGTGTCTCTGGATATGAAAGGAATTCTTGCTCATTAGTACAGGATTTAGTTCAATTATTTTTGCAAGTTTTAAGGACTAGGTTAATTAACCAAAGTGTGTTGACATTCTTAAACTGATCAGAATGCAAGATAAAAACACATTTTAGAGAATATTTTTTGTAGTGTGTTAATGTATTGGGATGACAAATATTAAAAATTAAAAATGACAAAATGTTAAAGATAGTTTTCTAGGACTTCAGTTGGCAGATAATTATTTTTTTAATCTGTTGCCATCTCAGATTTAATATCAGACAGTACTGCAGTGTAGAGGTTTTCCTTAACACAAAGATAAGAGAAAGAGTTGCTTTTTTCTTGAAATATAGTCTAATCAATCATTTAAATGGATTTAAAGAATATAAGTTCAGCTAAGCAAACACTATGGTGTAACTGGTATATGTGCAATAGCAGTCTCAATTGTTTTACATGCTGGGCAGAAGTATTATATTCCACACTTAATTGGGGGAGCAATCAGTAAATTGCTCGGAGCCCCAAGTTTTACAGATACAAAAAGAAAAGAAAAAGTAGTCCATAAAATCACCAAGAACAAACCAATTAAGCTCTGAGTGTGGTCAATGGCCTCAGAATCCTGGCTAACAGGCTGTGATAGTAGTAGAAGAATGTATTTTGGACCAGGCATAGAATGATGTGTCTTGAACAGAAGCACCCTAAATTGCAAATTTTGCTTTCCCGGTTGTAATTTACCTAATTGGGCTCTCTCATGTTGAATCTGGAGAATCGTTTTGATTTGGAAGAGGTATGATATTGATCTCTCTTATGTTTCCAATTTTTGGAATAAGAATTTATGGGATTTAAGTTTATTTTATTTGATAATGCATGCAGTTCTGCAAATTCCATAAGGGCAAGACATTCTTTATATAAATGTGCAAGAGAAGCACTCATGGCATTTTGTGTGGGGGTGAAGATGTTTGACTAAGGAAATGTCATTGCAATGTCGCCAGTTCAAAATATATCTCTTGATCAGTATCTACAGCCTTTTCAGGAAGAGCCATACATTATTTATCCCATGTGGATAGTATATCCACTCCCAAGTTTGGTTAGTTTTAAAAGAAAGGTGATTTAATAGCAATGGAAAATTCCTTAAAAATAAAATGTGATGTATTTTTTTCAGAGAAGTGTGCATTTATTTGTATGTGTACATAATGCTACTTGGAGAAAAAAATTATATGCAAGTGTATAACCAAGTTAGAACTTCATTTTACCTCAAAAAACAAAAAACAAAAAGAAGCGGGGGGTAAATCCATAAAATTTTAAGTGATGTAATGCTTCAGCTTTTTAATGTGAATAGAGAGAGGACAAGAAATGAAACAAGATTAGGTTATAGTGACAGATTAATGGCCTTGTGTTTTAAATTCAGCCCTATCATCATTAGATGATAGCAAAAAGTTAACCTCTCTTAACTGCAGCATAGGACTCAGCTGCCACTGTACAGTATAAATGTCCTTAGAGTTCAAATTAGGGGTTTGGTGTGTGAGAGATGCGTTCAACTATGGAGTGCATCCATGTAATTTTTCCAGAATAATTATTCACCTATCAACAAGTCAGCATATCAACCTTTTTTTTTTTTTATTCGCACTCAATCATGACCGATTCTGTGGCGACTGCCTGGACGAGTCCCTGCAGTTTTTATGGCAAGGTGTTTCGGAAGCGGTTTGCCTTTGCCTCCTTCCTAGAGGAGAGCCCAGCTGGCGAGCGCAGGAGGCGAGGTTTCCGTTGCTTCGCGCCTTTTTCAGGTGTACGTGGCTTCTCCGTTACTGGCAACTGGTCCCATCTCTCGTGCAAGGTGCTGCCAGCTTTTTTCCTCCCACCGGGGTGAAAGTCCCCATTTATCTACTCGCGGATGCTTTTGAGCTGCTGGGTTGGCAGAAGCTGGGGAGGAGACAGGAGCTCACTCTGCCGCCCGGAGCTGGGCTCGAACCGCTGAAGTGTCGACCATTTCTGGCCGGCAACTTTCAGTGTCATTAAGCCGCTGCCCCACCGCGTCCCCCTATATTGACCATTAGGTGACAGCAAAGATTGAGAGCTTTGTCTCTGTTGGTGTGATGGAATGGAATTATGAAGGCCAGACTCAGGGAGAAAAATGTTTTCTTTCATCTCC